CGTCGCAATTTGATCGATCAACTATTATCCCCGTGCTCGCGTTGCCTGACAAAAGTGACACCCTTGTAAGTGACACCTTTGTAAGTGAGGAATTGTTGATATCGCGCCTTTCGACTCGTAAAACCGGATGCAATCTCGTTTCCTATAGGTGACGTAATCGCATCGTAGGAGACGGAGCACGGTTGTGTCTCGCGTCGTTGCGTAAAACGGAGCACGCGTAATTTTCATCAAGAGCGCTATCCAATTAACATGGGATACCTATAAGACCTTGGAATTAAAGGTATTAGGAAGATTGCTGGCAGAGAAGGAGTGAAAGAAAGAGCGAGAAAGAGACAGGAGACGAGAGAAAAGTTATACTTTCTTCGGATTGAGTATACCTCGTTCCTTTCGCCGCGTCGAGCGATGATGTTCACAAATTTCGCGAAAATTACGATCGAAATAAGTATAGAAGTATTTCGACGCTTTCTGCGTGGGAAACAAGAGCAAGTGACGTTTGTATAAAAAGATTGGCTGTTGCTACCAATTGTATCTTTAATCTGACTCTATCGCCAGAAGACAATGAAAATCTGCCATTGCGAAGGAGAAAGTTGCCGCAAATGAATACATTCAACTTTGCGAAGACCGCGTCGTCATCGACTTAAAGTCGGAAAGTGCCTTTTCTTTGGAATTCTTCATATATGTCATAATTCTTCAATTTATGTGAAAACGATAAGATTGTTCGCTTCACGAAGGGAAAGTTAAGATCCTCATAGTTCAGGCGAGAGAGATTTAAGGGTCGACGCCGTTCGAAACTGGAGGCTAGATCTTCATCGGGGTCACGTTAAAGAGAGAAGACATTCCCGAAGGTGGGCAGCAAAGAGAGACGCACGGATGATCGAGCGGCCAGTCTGAAACTCGTCTCATGCGGTGACCCGCGCGCTTTCGCGCGACGCGACATCGGCGGAAGTACCAAAGAGTAACTTGGCGTTTCGCAAAGATGTCAGCCGAGTAGTCGATGCGCGAAAGATTTATTTATGTAATAAGTTGACAAGATAACTTGCCAACGCCAAGAATCACATCTTTCGATTTTTCACCGGTGCGACCGAGAAGCGCCGATCGATTCACGATTTCGTTCCGGCGGATCTTTCGCGCGTATCATCAAACTGATATTTGGTATATACGACGCGTGGTACGCGAGGGGCGACGATCGCTTTTACGAAGGCAAGCGCATCCGAAGAGCGCAACAATCGCCTTGGCGAGTATCGGCCGGAGCTACCTCGCGCCGGATCGGTTTGGCATTCGGCGCGCAGGAGAGCGACCGCATTTACGAGGACGCGGAGCGAGTGTAGCTGAGAGCTTGAGACTCTCTCGATATCTGCTCGCTCCGCGCGATAATCGCCGCCGCGTCGTTCGCTTTCACCGTAGCACAGCTTTGGCTCGCGCTTTGGTACGGCGCGGCAGCGGGGCTGCCAGGTATTCCAGGTAATAAATCTAATAGCGAGCCCGGAGTAACGGTTTATGACGAATATTATTCTCCGCGAGAAGACTAACCGACCGCGAACAGATCGCGCGTCTTACGAAATTGCGCGCGGCCGCTGCGACTCGGGAGAGTTTAGAAATACTAGCGAGGAAGATCGCATGACGGAAAGGCAAGCCTGCGACGCGAGTGAGTCGCGATAGAAAATTCTTTCCGAGAATTCACGAGAGATCCAGTGGAGAGTGACCAGTGGGTAAATCAAATCACGCTCGTCTGTCGTCTGTCGTCTCTTTCGCCGAGGGCGAAAATTAACTCGTCGAAAGAAGCAAGCGAAAAGGAATAAGGTAGATACTTGAACGTGACCGAGCCTTTCGGGTAAAGAGAGAGATAAGATCCCGACAGAGGGATAGACGATCGCCTGAATGCGCGGCAGGATACCGAGGTCATCGCTCGTGCTGTGTACAAACGCGATTTACTCGATCGATCGATCGTCTTGGCGATAAGAGGCGTGAGATTCCAACGGGGTCAAGCGTCGCTAGCGATGTCACCGGCGTGAAGACACGAGTCGCGACGATCGCGAGTTGTTGCACGACGCGTACCGCGCTTCATCGGGTCGCCTTTTTCCCCCCCCCTTCTCTCTCTCTCT